GTTGTTGCGAGACAGATTATACGTTTCGATGGAAAAATTTAACTCGTTGAAACTGTTTCGAGTATGGGTTAATAAAGGTGTGATAAGAGGTATGTTTCTCTCTGTCGTAGTAAGTATCACGGTTGGCCTCGACGGCGGTGCGATTGGTGAGAATAAAATACCCCCAATTTATCGCGCAATCTACGGAAATTTATACGATTTGTTTCTTCATTGTCAAAAAAAGAAAAAGAAAAGAAGTGATAAAGTTTCAGATGAAGAAAAGAAAATTTTCAAAAGAAAATTGGAGATTTTCGATTGGTTATGATCTATATCGATTGTTGATTATCGATATTGCTCGTAATTATTTAAAAAACGTATCTCTCTTGTCCAAAGAAATGACCGATCGATAAAATTTCAAAGAACACACAGCACTGCAAGAAAACGTGGCTCGATCGCCGAAAAGATGGGAACGAACAGCCTTAGATTGTGCGTCAATAGACGACTACGAACAACTGGGTCCATTTCCCGAACGATAATAACTCGACCAACCACCACCTCGACTTTGTTAGACCGTTATCAATGATAGATGAAGATAAGCGATAACCGCCTACCTAACTTATTTCGGATTCCAACCTAACTTACAAGAAGAAAAATATATTTATATCATCGTTGAAATTTTCCTATTTAAATTTGAAATTTTTAATTTTTTCTTTTTAACAATAAGTTAAAAATTATAATAATAATCGCGAATAAATTTTGAAAATTAGCTAAATATATATATATAATTTTTATAAATTATATATAGTTATATATATTAGTCTAAGACTATAATTCTTTTATAGTCTTTTTATAATTCTTATAAAAAACAACTGTTTAATTAAAAGTCTCATTTTATACGTTTCTCAGAATACTATGTTTCTTTCATAATGTTTTCTCGTAATCGATTTTCAACTGAATCGATATCGATTTGTCATTTGTATGTCATGACAGACGGTAAAAGAAAGAAAAAAGAGGCGAGAAAATAGGCGATTATAAACGTTCTTTATAGAGTAAGAGTCAATGTGAGATTCGATCGATCCTTCCGTTCAAACAATTCGCCAATGAATGCACGAATGAAGCAAAATTAGAAATAGGCTGCATCGAAAAGATTTGAACAGTTGTGTCTCGAGTTTCTGGAGCCTGGCCAAAAGTAAAATTTTCAAGTATCGCAATATCGTATTCAATATCGAATTTTTTTTTTTTCATTCTCAATCGGAAATTCTTTAACAATTTTCCATTATAATCGATAACAAAAACAAAAAGAATAAAAAGATCGAAAAGAGGAAAGAGAAAAATAAGAAAAAATAAAAATCGCTGAGAAAGATGTTGAATTGAACTTGAAGAAAAATGAATGGAATTACGAAAGAATCATATCTATCGAAGCATATCTGTATACGCGTGATCTAGCAGATAAATTGATTGTCGAACTGATTAAGCGGCAGCTGTATGCGTTCTTTCGTTTGAAATATAGAGACAGTGCGTTATAAATCGCAGTTAAGAATCGAACAGGTGGCTGGCAAGGCTGAGCCAAAAACGAAATATATCTATTCTCGCCTGATCGGATACGATCGAATACGTTCACCCATATTCAGCACAGTGCGTGATTGAAATTCACCGTTATATAATACAGGATTGAAATAAATAAAAGAAAGTAATTAGCAATTACTAATAGTAACCAATGTATTAAACAAATATTTATAAGTATTTTAATAAAATATACGGTAAGTAGTACTGATTCTGATTTTTCTTTTCATGTTGATTCCAGGTTTGTTCGTTTGAATGACGTTCGTAAAAATGTATATTAATTCGTGACTCGAATTATCTAAGCAGACGAGACACATTTATAGAAAAATAACATACAAACTACAGTTACAAACGTATTTAATTAAACTTTGCAAAGTTGAATTATCAAAAACATATTTTACATTCGCAGAGATTTTAATTGAAAGCTAGATCAAAATCGAAGAATTTGAAAAATGACTGAATCAAATCTACGATGAAAAATGAGCACGGAAATCATTTCGAGGGAAATAACCCGTCAATTCGTCGTTTATTACCAACTTAACTCTCGAACTTATTCACTGAATGATCTCGGTTTGTCATTTATTTGAGAAAATGATGAAAATATTGATTATTTGTGTACTCGATTGTACACAATTGTAAATTGGCACTAAATTGACGGAATGTTTATACAATACGGCATATACAATACCACGCCGCGCCGTTCCGTCTTTGGCGTGGCCAAGCCACGATATGAAAATTTCTCACGAATGCGAGACACAAGCGTGTACACCAATTGCGGTCAACTGTGTTCACAATCGACGAAAGCAATGCTCGTGACTCACTCGTTCGACCAAGTCGATGGTAAACTCTGTTTCTCGCCTTTCGTCTCTCACCTCTTTCCCAATGCGGTCATCTATCATGTCGAGAGCTCAAAGTGCAAGTACCGATAGCAGGTCTGTATTCGACCGCTTCGGTACCCGTACTGCCATCTTTTTCCCTTTCGAGAGGTTTGATCACACTTGAAATTAGGTATTCATCTTTCTATCGAATGAATGTTTGCGTATCGATATTATCTTGAAAACACTCTTTTTTTTTTTTCTTTCGTTTCGAATGTAATTCGAATCTAATCGAAATCTTAAGTTTATTTTTAGTTTTAATTTTTTTTTTACTGTTAAATGAATCATATCGGAAATTTACAAACAATAGATAGAAAATGATAAAGTTCTGTTACTTTTTCTATACATCATCGATATATCGATAAAATAATAAAGTATATCTGTAATGATTATCAGGAATTTTCTATAGAACAAATTTAACTACAATGGCTAACTTTTTGTATAAAGTTGCATTATAGTACAGTCTGCATGCTTTACATCGAATAAAAACGTCGAAAATTCAATAAAAAGTTCAATAGACGTTTTACACGATAAATGTTCAAATATGTATTTTCTTAATAATTATTATATTTCAATTGTGACTGAATTAAAAAGAGAAAGAAAAAAAAAAGGATACAAAACTGCCCACTGAATGTATTCGTTGAATCATTTTTGATAATTCACGTAAAGTTAAATTAACGAATTCGTTATTCGTAATTAATCGTTACGAAATCATGTTTAAAAACATTTAAATTTATAATTTCTTCTTTTTTGTCATTTGAGTATTGGTTTGAAATTTAGAGAAGATTGTAAATCAGACGTGTTTGAGCAATGCTTATTTATATGTCTTTTTTGACATTGTCAAAAAGACATTTGTCAAGATAACGAATCATTCATATATCAAAGGAAATATTTAACGGATATAAAAGCGCGTAAAATTTATACATATTCTTAGAAATTATTATTTTACGACATTAAGTTTGTTTATTATTGTATCACCGCATCATAGAATAATAAAAAAAAAAATGTTTTAAAAATATACTCGATAACGGTAGAGATTGACGATAACCAGTTGTGAAGACAATTTGAAACATCTTTAAACTAAGTGAATCAGGAAACAAGCGCTATTAAT